GAAGATCGAGTTTACTCGAACCAATTTCGTTCACTAACTGTGCTGACAACGACATAGCCGTCACAAAGTCTGTTACACTTGCGCGCAGCGGCCATCTTGTAAAGTTGGGGGACTTCAGCCACGCTTTGAGGCTGCACTCTGTTATCACAGGGACTCTTGAAGGCGAGATATGCGATATGGCCGGCACCGTGGTTTACATGGCTCCCGAGGTACTACATCGGCCGCGCGGCCCGCGTGAAATATTTACTGATCCCAGCTCATTATCCGGTTCTAATCCCGTGGACCTGGGATACGGCCGAGCCTGCGACATATGGTCACTGGCCTGCGTCGTTCTTGAGTTGCTGACGGGCCGCAGACCCTGGTATGAGCTGACAGAAACGGCGGCCATCGTGTTTCGCCTATGCTCAGGTGCCACACCATCTCTGCCTGCTGTGATGCCAACGCGAGCCCTCAGAGATCCATCCCTTTTAACGCCTTGCCATGAAAACCCTGGTTCAGATTCGGAGTTTATGGATGTAGTAGCTCCGCCGCTGGGCTTCGTTAGTCCCGAAGCGGTTGAATTTCTACAGTCCAGCCTCAAATCCGACCCTGCTGCGCGCCCTATGGCCATTCAATTAGGGCAGTTCGAATTCGTTCGCTACTCCCAGCCTTCACTTTGAGCATATGAATCCAGTTATCTGGGAAAATTTATCTCGCTTCAGGTTGATATTGGAGAAGATTGTTGGATGGGTGGATAGGTGGAGAGAATGGAGGACATTAAATACTTGCGGGTGGTCAAGTTACAAGGATTTCATTTGCAACTTCCTTGCTTATCTAAGGTAGGGCCAAAATAGGGTTTGGAAAATAAGTATACAGCGTTTCAACATAAACTTTACAGATTCGCATTTCTTTTTTTGTCTTCCTTATTTAGCCTTGTACAGCTATTTATATCTATTCATAAGGTCCACTTCGATCTCTGTCTATGTAGCTGGTACTCCTAAATTAAGTTTACTATCAATTTTCAATTGCCAGTATTTCGGTATTCATTACCTTTTCCTTGCCAAATATTCTTTGTACGTTTGAAAGAATTTTTTTTCTAACTTCTATTGATGTTGGATTGTCGATTTTACACAATAAATCTTCCGATGAGCATCTCTTTATACTATTCCTGTCAATCAAGCCGACAAGTATATTATAACTACGATTCTCTTTAAATATATCGAATTGTGTAAACGTTTTGTATTCTAATTGTTGCGAGTACACAAATTTATGGATACATCTGCATGTATTCATTTTTATATGTGTTTATAAAATTTTCAATATTTTTGCACCTTATTCCTGAGCTATAACATAAAAGATGGGCTTGTCATCCTCCCTTCCATTTTCCTCGCATAAAATATATTTTATAAGTTATTTATTAATATTTTATGCATTTCTCTCAGATGAGTAATTTTGCTTAGATTTTTTGGGCGAGCCTGTAATCTGTATATCTTTATTTAAATGTATGTACATACTTACCTGAATTTGTGTCTTATTTCTCACTTTGCAGTCTACTTCGCACTAGTTTCGAATGATTTTTTCTTATTTTAATCGAAGGTATGAAGACTAAGATGGTGTGGCGTTTTGTGTGGTCGCAGTCTCCTTTTGTTGTATAGAAGTTGTTTTACCTTGTTTTCGCAACTTTGTCATATCGGTAGGAAGACTTAGGGAAACGCACCGTGTCCGGAGTCCATTGTATGCATCATCATTTCCAGAGTAGGACCGTGGACGTGGTATATTCCCAGACGTTTCGCTGGCATCGTCAGTGAGTCTCGCCACTCGTAGCAATATATTACAACTCGTCAAAGAGACAAGTGAAGCCGATCGTTTAGACCACGTGTGCTAAACAGTTATGGTATCTCCCCTTCTGCCCTGGCCTATTCACATTTCCTATATCCTCCTATCAGACCTTCACTGTCACAATTTTTCACCGTGCCTATTTCGATGTAATGTAGTGTGCTCCTTTAAGCGGCATTCATGAAAACCCTTCACACTCCACACTGTCTTAATCACCCCCTTCAGCCTTGTGCTGGGAATGTTGATCACAGTCTGCCATATTGTTGCGTAGTCCTCCATCCTTGGGTCCTATCAGTCTCCATCCTGCTCCGAGTGAATACATCTCATATTACTGATTTACTGGTAGTCTCGAAACTCTACTTAAATATGAAGAATAAAATATGTAGCTAGTTTATTCATAAGGGATGTTTGAAAAAGTTGCTCACTTACAATCCAATGCTTGAGCTTAGTCACGTTTTAGGAAAATAGCTCAGACACACTGAAGACATCTTTTTTTGCTTCCTGATTATGCATACACTAACTTGTGTAGGTAGCTGCATGGGGTCAGAGATGTTGACAGATCATAATGTTACTTAAAAGAGGTGAAAATAAAGTATGCGTGGTTGGCAAAAGGACATGATCGTAAGGTCTGCTATGAATTGAATGGTAGCTTGGATACATGGGCAAACTTCTGAGTCACGCATTATCTCATTTAAGTACGCTGGCGACAGCTTATTAAAGTGAATCAAGTGGATCCGGATGTGGGTCTGCGTATGTTGTGTGCACAGGTGAGAAAAAAGACGGTGAAAGGAATCTCACTTGCAAGACTACACTTAACTAATGTGCTATTTGACTACTGGAGAGTGTTCATACAGCGTTAAACCAAGCTTTAATTGACTTACAAATAGAAAAATGGCAAAGTGCAAGTCGACGTTGGCTGTGCATTGAATTAACCTTAAATATCAAAATTTCTGGATGGAGGTAATTCATCGAATATGTTTTAACAACGTTTTTGTCCCTCTTTCCTAGCCTTCATTGTTGCTGCATCGGCCGGATTCAGTGCCATCGGCTTTTTTCGGTTTGGTCAGAATTACTTTCTGTTTAGCCTAGGGCTGATGCGACTCTGGTACGGGAGGGGACCGGCTTGTCAAAACCCCAGTTATGAATTTTCTGCAGAGCAGCAATTAGTAAGCTCTTTCGAATAAAAAAGAGGCCCATCAGACCTAACGACTGAACTTTGACGATTCCAGACAATCACGAAAGTTAGATTGCTATGGTAAACTTAACTCCAATATCTGACTTTCGCAAGAGGCTTCGATATTCAGTCCATTCGTCTCCTGCACACATCCCGAGGATACACGCACGGCCAGCTGGGTATTTTATTTTCCACGAATTCTATTCACTCTAAATGTGGTCTGACCTCGTTTCCGTAACTTTGTCGTGTTGTCAGGGCCACTTAGTTGGACCCACATAGTCCGAAGTCCTTTATTATAGTAGTTATCGTAATTCTTAGCGTCAGACCGTGGAAATGGTACATTCTCAGACATTTCGCCGAAATCGTCAGTGAGTTTGGTGCTGAATATGGGAAGAGTCAACAACGATGCCGGCGAAACGTCTGAGAATGTACCGAGTCCACGAGCTGACGCTGAGACTTATGCTAACTATTATAACAGAGGACTTAGAACAATGAGCGTCCAACTAAGTCGCCCTGACAACATGATCAAGTTGCGAAAACGAGGTTGGACAACATCTATACACCGAAAGGAGACGACGACCAAAATAGAGGCCACAACATCTTGGTCTTCGTGTCCACTATTCATCCTAGTTCGCATAAGGTGATGAAGGACTGATGGCTCAATTTTCTCCAAATTATATGAGTAGTCCTAACATTTATATTAAAGGTATCCCCATCTAAGCTGCACCGTATTTCCGATCCCACCTGGGTCACATTAGCATTCCCAAACTGGGCTAGAATCCGGGTACTTCAGCGGATAATTTTGACATGTTGCCACTACGCCACCTTGCTACGCTTACCAATTATTAAGGATGTAGACGTGAACTTAAGGTGGCCTTGCCGATATTGTAAAGGTGTATTTTCTCATAAATGAGTGGGTTTTCGCTTGGAATGTTGCTAAAACTATGTGAAATTCAATGGAAAAGTCAACTCTACTAATATCATTGTGTGAAAAATAAACTACCAGTCCCTCAACACCTTTAATGGACTAGGATG